TTAGGCAATGAATGTATACCCAGGCCACAGTGTGGAGGTTTAATCAAGAGCTGGAACATTTGTGATGTAAAATACATGTGATCATGGTACACTCAACCCGACCAAAAGGCTGCTCCTTCAGTTACGAGGCAAAAGTTGACACACCAATCTCTGATGAATATAGATGCAAAATTCAACAAAATATTACCACACTAAATCATGCATTAAAAAAAATCATTTACCCCAGTCAAGTAGGATTTAATCCATGGAGATTCAAAATTTGCAAGTCAATGTACTATATCACATTAATGAAAGATAAAAAGATATTACCGTCTCAATGGATGCAGAAAAAGCACACGACAAAGTACAACATGCATTCTCTCAAAGTAGGTTTAGAGGAAACACATCTCAACATATTAAAAAGTACATATGAAAAAACCTATAGTATACTAACATACTCAATGGTGAAAGCTTTACTTCTAAGATCAGAAACACACACACGTCCACTCAACACTTACCTGGAAGCCGAGCCACAGCAATCAGACAAGCAAAAAAACAAAAGATATCCAAACTGGAAAGACGTAAAACTTTTGTGGATAGCACAATGCTATATACAGAAAATCCTAAAGACTCCACCAAAAAACTACTAGTACTAATAAATGAATTCAGTAAAGTTGCAGGATACAAAATCGACATTATGTAACAGATTATGTAACATATATCTGTTACATTTCTACAGACTAATAATGTAGCAGAAAGAAAAATTAAAGTCTCATTTACAATTGCATCAAAAAGAATAAACTTTAGGATGAACCTTAACCAAGGAGGTGAAAGACATGTACTCTGAAAACTATAAAACCATGATGAACCAAACTCAAAATGGAATAAAAAGATACCATGGTCATCGAATGGAGGAACCAATCTTGTTAAAACTGCATACTACCCAGAGCAACCTATAGATTTAATGCAATACCTGTCAAAATACCAACATTTTCCACAGAACTAGAAAAATTCTAAAATTTGTGTGGAACCCAAAAAGACTCCCAATAGCCAACGCAATCTTGAGAAGAACAAATTAGAGATGTATCACTATCCCAGATTACAAATTACACAACTGTAGTAATCAAAACAGTATGGTAGTAGCATGTTAAAGGACCCATAGATCCATGGAACAGAATAGACATCCCCAGAAATAAAACCATGCTTATATGCTCAATTAACCTATGACAAAGGAGGCTAGAACATAACAGGGAAATGACAGCCCCTTCAATAAATGGTGCTGGGAAAACTAGACCACTTTCTAATGCCATACACAATAATAAACTCAAAATGGATTAAAGGTGAAACCTGAAACTATAAAACCTGCAAAAGAAAACAGTAATTTCTTAGACATCAGCTGTCACATTTTTCTAGATCTGTCTCCTCAGCCAAGGGAAGCCAAAGCAAAATTAAATTACTAGGACTACATCAAAATAAAACGCTTTTGCACAATGAAGGCAAACCATCAACAAAACAAAAAGGCAACCTACTGAATGGGAGGAGAAATTCACAAAAGATATATCCAATAAAGGGTTAATGTAAAAAACATATAAAGAACTACAACTCAACCCCCCCCAAAACAAATAATTCACTTAAAAAATGGGCAAAGCACCTGAATAGACATTTTTTCAAAAAAGACATACAGATGGCCAACATACACATGAAAAGATACTCAACATCACTTATCAGGGAAATGCAAATCAAAACCACAATGAATGGCTCAAATCAAATCAGAATGGCTCAAATAAAAAAGACGAAATAACAAGTGCTGACAAGGATATGGAGAAAAAGAACTGTCCTGCCCATTGGTGGGAAGGCAAATTGGTGTAGCCACTGTGGAAAACAATATGGAGGTTCCTCAAAAAATTAGAATTACCAGATGACCTAGTAATTTCACTATGGGCTATTTGCCAAAGAATAGGAAATACACTAATTTGAAAAGATATATGCACCCCTATGTTTACTACAGCATTATTTAGCTAAGTTATGGAAGCAGACTAAGTGTTCATTGATAGATGAATGGATAAAGAAAATGTGGTGTAGAGGCGCGTGGGTGGCTCGGTTGGGCATCCAACTCTTGATCTTGACTCAGGTCATGATCTCATGGTTTGTGGGATTGAGCCTTGTGTCTGGCTCTGCACTGACAGAATGGATCCTGCTTGGGATTCTCTCTCTGCTTCCTTCCCAGCTCACACACGTGCTTGCTCAAAATAAACAAACTTTAAAAAGAAAAAAAAAAAAGGTGGGGGCACCTGGGTGACTCAATTGGTTAAGCATCTGACTTCAGCTCAGGTCATGATCCCACAGTTCGTGAGTTCCAGCCCCACATAGGGCTCTGTGTTGACAGTTAAGAGCCTGGAACCTGCTTTGGATTCTGTGGCTGGCTCTCTCTCTGCCTCTCCCCTGCTTGCATGCGCACGCTCGCTCTCTCAAAAATAAACATTAAAAAAAATTTTTTAAGAAAAAATGTGATATACATATATATGTATATCATATATATTACATATATATTTTTTACATATATATTACATATATATGATATACATATATATTTTATATATATGTATATATGATATATATTTTATATATATGTATATGTATATATGATATACATATATATTTTATATATATCTTTATATATGTATATATATACATATATTACATATATATATTTTACATATGTATTACATATATATGATATACATATATATATTTTATATATATATATTTATATATGTATGTATATATATGTATAGATAGGTAGATATAACACACACATATAGTGGTATATTAGCCATAAAATAGAATGAAATCATGCCATTTGTAACAACACGGATGGATGATCTAGAGGGTATAATGCTAAGTGAGATACATTAGAAAAATACCATATGATTGCACTCATGTAGAATTTAAGAAACAACAAAGAAAAAAGAGACAAACCACATTTCTATACACCAAATGGTCACCAGAGGGAAGGGAGGGATAATTGAAATAGGTGAAGGGGATTAAGAGTACACATACCATAATGAGGACTAACATATAGAGTTGTTAAATCATTATACTCGTGCCTGAAACTAACATAACACTATGTTAATAAAGAAAAAGTGGAGATGCCTCTGCCAATATATAGAAGAAACATGAAAGGAATGACACTATTTCCAAGTATTTTTTAAGTGTTGAAATTAGACAATATGAAAAATAACTACACTCTGGTGTACTTTAAGGTGACAGAGCACAAATTCTATTGGGGATTGACAGCTAGTATTCTTTCTAGATGGTCTTCATGCTAGAAGGTATTTAAGGTCCTGCTGATCACTGGGACAGAAATGGCAGTGGTGCCTGTCACCAACCAAAGGAGGGGAGGAAGCTAAAGGTGGGAACACACTAAGGACCAACATGACTACTGCCTTTCAGAGTGCAGAGCACTTAATCTTGCCAGTTCTTTTGTTGGCACTGGAAGAAAACAGAACTCTGTGCAAGCATTGTCCTAGAAGCCATGGGAGGGCTCAACAGATACAAAAGGCTTCCAGAGCAAGTGTAGGGGGGAAAGACCATGACTAAAACTAACATCTGGGCATCATGAAAAGTTTAAAGTACGAGGGACTGGACAAAGTACGTAAGATTCTCTGCAGAGATGTCCCATTGTCTAAATTATCAATGAACTGCTGTATTAAACAACTTGTACCCAATTTTATCTCCGAGTGTCTGCCTTATGTCAAGAATTGTGAAGGATCTAAGATTTTACCTAGGACTTGAGATCCTAGGTCAGAGACATGGACTTAATTAAGAACAGAAAGCTTCATGTTCGCTTTGCTTCCCTTGTACACCAGATACTATGGAGATGATCTGAAATAATCTAAGTGGATGCTGCATGGGCAGTGGGACTGTGTCACAGATGAGAGACTCTGAACATAGGAAACTCAAATCTTAATGGGCTGATTGCAAGCAAAGCTGCCTGTCTTTGGCAGCAGAGGAAAACATTTTTATTATACTGGTTTGTAAATAAACCTGTCCTAAGCTCCAGAAAGAGACAGTCTCTATATTCCAAAACTTTCAAACTTCTTTGAAAGGACAGTCTGGAAGAAATGCCTCTGTTCACAAGACAGGCAGAAACTTAAGAGACTCACTGAGAAATGATTACCCATCTCTACATGTTTTTACCTTCTATTCACCTCAAGCTTAATCTTTCACCAGTTCAGAGGATTATGCTGTCTATCTGGGACGATAGCATGGTGCAGGGAAAAGTATTAATGGCCTCAGCGTGAAGTGACTTAATTTCTAACTAACATTGCTTTCCACCAGTTGCATTATCTTAAGTAAAAGAAGGTCCCACCCAGCTCTAAGTTACATGAAGTTATACCATGTCCCAGATCTTACCCAATTAGAATCCTTTAGGGTAAAGAAATGATTCCAGCAAACGTAGAAAACTTATTTAGCCAGAAAACTTGTACATGTATTAGTGCAATCTGTAGGAAAAAAAGTCACTCCAATTCAACTTGTTTTTACTGAGCACCCATCATGGTGAGGACTAGCCACGTAAAGGGCATAAAGGCCTTGAGGAACTCCAAAACTAATATGACAAAATTGGTGCCATAAAGTTCTATACAATGTGGTATGGAAACACAACAGTAATGAATTCTGCTAAGACTTGAGGGATAAATAGTATTTGGGTAAAGAGCTTTCTAAAAGATGGGGAAACCACCAGAATTTAAAAATAAAACCTAAGTGAAGAGACATTATGAGTATGAGTTGAAATAAGCCTCTGAGTCCAGCAAGATGAAGCTTTTGTGTTTCAAAACTGGTGAGAAGATGCCAATAGTGTAGCTACATGTTTGAGAATTATCAGCATATATTTAAGACAACATGTAGATGAGCTTACTTCAGGAGAAAATTAAAATGAAAATGGGCTAAAAATAAAACTTTGGGAAACATCAACATCTAAGGGAAAAAGGTGGCAATGAAAAAGTGGTCAGACCACTTACCACAGTGAGACCAAGGTCACATTGATGGTGTTAGGTTTCAGAGAGGCCAAATGAACAAGTCTACAAATAGATCATCAGTAATCTTCGTCAGGTAAGTGTCATTGGAATGGTGAGGGCAGACTCTGGCTGCCAGGCTCTGAAAAGTAACTGAAAGATCAGAATGGACTAGTAAGCCGAAATGACTCCTTTAAGAAATGTGTTTAAAAAAAAAGAAAAAAAGGGCAGTTCTAAACTAAATGAACCTCAGGAGGTCTACGCCAAAACACATAATAATTAAAATGGCAAAGTTTAAAGATAAAAAGAATTTTACAAGTTGTAAAAGAGAAGCAAAAGTTATATATAAGGGGAACTCCATAAGGCTATCAGATGATTTTTCAGCAGAAACTTAATAGACCAGAAGGAGGTGGCATGATATATTCAAAGAACTACAATCAGGAATACTCCACTAGTCAAGGTTATCATTTAGAATTGAAGGAGAGATAAAGAGTTTCCCAAACAAAAGTAAAAGGAGTTCTGGTCTTACACGAAATGTTAAAGGTACTTAATTGGGGGAGATGGGGGAGGTGGGGTAAGGCCATAAGTAGAAGTAAAAAAATTATGAATTAAAAAGATGTAAAATATGACAACATACACCTAAAACACGCAGGAGTAAAAAAGAAGAATGTGTTCAAACTTAAATGACCACCAACTTGATATAGTTTGTCAGATACTTAGAATCCTATATATGAACTTCATAGTAACCACAAACCCAAAACCTCTAACAGATACACAAAAATAAAGATAAAGAAAGCCAAGCCTAACACTATAGAAAGTCATAAATCACAAGGAAAGAGCAAGAGAAGAAACAAAAAAATACAAAAACATCCAGGAAACAACTAACAAAATGGCAATAGTACATATCAATAATTACTTTAAATGTAAATGGTCTAAATATCCAATCAAAAGACAGAGTGGCAGAAGGGATGGGGACAAAAGCCATCTATATGGTGTCTACAAGAGACTCACTTCAGTCCTAAAGACACATACAGACTGAAAATGAAAGACTAGAAAAAGATATACCATGCAAATAGAAGTGGGGGGAACGGGGGAAAGCCAGGTAGCAATAGTTAGACAAAATAGACTTTAAAACAAAGACTATAACAAGACAAAAAGAAGACCACTATATAATAAAGGGATCACTCCAACAATCCAAATCTCAGTAAGTTTAAGAAGGTTAAAGGCATATCATGCTTTATTTCCAACAATGATATGAAACCAGAAATCAATCACAAGAACAAAACCAGTAAAAATATAGAAACTAAACCATATGCAACTACACAACCCATGAGTTACAAAGAAATCAAAGAGAAAATAAAAAAAAACTACACATAGAAAAATGAAAATGAAAACACAGCAATCCAAAATCTTTGAGAAAAATCTCAAATTAACAATGTAAACTTACACCTAAAAGAACTAGAAAAAGAAGAAAATAAAATCTCAAGGTTAGGAGAAGGAAGGAAATAATATAGGTCAGGGCAGAAATACATGAAATAGAGACTGAAAAAGAAAAGATCAATGAAACCAAGAGTCAGTTCTCTGAATAAATAAATATTGATAAATCTTCAGTCAGATTTTAAAAAAAGGACAAAAATAAAATCAGAAGTGAAAGGGGAAAAGTGACAACACCCACAGAAATGCAAAGGATTACAATAAAAAAATTTAGCAGCAAACTGGACAACCCTGAAGAAATGGATAAATTCCTAGAAACATATGTTCTTTAAAAAATGAATTACAGAGAGGAGGAGGGAAGATGGCGGCGTAGGAGGACGCTGGGCTCACCGCGCGTCCTGCTGATCACTTAGATTCCACCTACACCTGCCTAAATAACCCAGAAAACCACCAGAGGATTAGCAGAACGGAGTCGCCGGAGCCAAGCGCAGACGAGAGGCCCACGGAAGAGGGTAGGAAGGGCGGCGAGGCGGTGCGCGCTCCACGGACTGGCGGGAGGGAGCCGGGGCAGAGGGGCGGCTTGCTGGCCAAGCAGAGCCCCCGAGTCTGGCTTGCAAAAAGCGGAGGGGCCTGACGGACTGTGTTCCCACAGCAAGCGCGACTTAGCGTCTGGGAGGTCATAAGTTAACAGCTCTGCTCGGAAAGCGGGAAGGCTGGAGGACAAAGGGAAGGAGAGCTGCTGAGCCCCCGGACGACAGAGCTCAGTTTGGTGGGGAACAAAGGCGCTCGCCAGCGCCATCTTCCCCGCCCATCCCCCAGCCAAAATCCCAAAGAGAACCAGTTCCTGCCAGGGAACTTGCTCCCTCCGCGCAAACACCCAACTCTGCGCTTCTGCGGAGCCAAAACCTCCGGCAGCGGATCTGACTCCCTCCTGCTGCCACAGGGCCCCTCCTGAAGTGGATCACCTAAGGAGAAGCAAGCTAAGCCTGCCCCTCCTGCCCCTGTGCACCTTGCCTACCCACCCCAGCTAAGACGCCAGATCCCCAGCATCACAAGCCTGGAAGTGTGCAAGTAGCCCAGACAGGCCACCCCACCCCACAGTGAATCCCGCCCCTAGGAGAGGGGAAGAGAAGGCACGCACCAGTCTGACTGTGGCCCCAGCGGTGGGCTGGGGGCAGACATCAGGTCTGACTGCGGCTCCGCCCACCAACTCCAGTTATACACCACAGCACAGGGGAAGTGCCCTGCAGGTCCTCACCACGCCAGGGACTATCCAAAATGACCAAGCAGAAGAATTCCCCTCAGAAGAATCTCCAGGAAATAACAACAGCTAATGAGCTGATCAAAAAGGATTTAAATAATATAACAGAAAGTGAATTTAGAATAATAGTCATAAAATTAATCGCTGGGCTTGAAAACAGTATAGCTGACAGCAGAGAATCCCTTGCTACAGAGATCAAGGGACTAAGGAACAGTCACGAGGAGCTGAAAAACGCTTTAAATGAAATGCATAACAAAATGGAAACCACCACAGCTCGGATTGAAGAGGCAGAGGAGAGAATAGGTGAACTAGAAGATAAAGTTATGGAAAAAGAGGAAGCTGAGAAAAAGAGAGATAAAAAAATCCAGGAGTATGAGGGGAAAATTAGAGAACTAAGTGATACACTAAAAAGAAATACTATACGCATAATTGGTATCCCAGAGGAGGAAGAGAGAGGGAAAGGTGCTGAAGGGGTACTTGAAGAAATAATAGCTGAGAACTTCCCTGAACTGGGGAAGGAAAAAGGCATTGAAATCCAAGAGGCACAGAGAACTCCCTTCAGACGTAACTTGAATCGATCTTCTGCACGACATATCATAGTGAAACTGGCAAAATACAAGGATAAAGAGAAAATTCTGAAAGCAGCAAGGGGTAAACGTGCCCTCACATATAAACGGAGACCTATAAGACTCGTGACTGATCTCTCTTTTGAAACTTGGCAGGCCAGAAAGAGTTGGCACGAGATTTTCAGTGTGCTAGACAGAAAAAATATGCAGCCGAGAATCCTTTATCCAGCAAGCCTGTCATTTAGAATAGAAGGAGAGATAAAGGTCTTCCCAAACAAACAAAAACTGAAGGAATTTGTCACCACTAAACCAGCCCTACAAGAGATCCTAAGGGGGACCCTATGAGACAAAGTACCAGAGATGTCACTACAAGCATAAAACATACAGACATCACAATGATTCTAAACCCATATCTTTCTATAATAACACTGAATGTAAATGGATTAAATGCGCCAACCAAAAGACATAGGGTATCAGAATGGATAAAAAAACAAGACCCATCTATTTGCTGTCTACAAGAGATCATTTTAGACCTGAGGACACCTTTAGATTGAGAGTGAGGGGATGGAGAACTATTTATCATGCTACTGGAAGCCAAAAGAAAGCTGGAGTAGCCATACTTATATCAGACAAACTAGACTTTAAATTAAGGCTGTAACAAGAGATGAAGAAGGACATTATATAATAGTGACAGGGTCTATCCATCAGGAAGAGCTAACAATTATAAATGTCTATGCGCCGAATACCGGAGCGCCCAAATATATAAAACAATTACTCATAAACACAAGCAACCTTATTGATAAGAATGTGGTAATTGCAGGGGACTTTAACACCCCACTTACAGAAATGGATAGATCATCTAGACACACGGTCAATAAAGAAACAAGGGCCCTGAATGAGACATTGGATCAGATGGACTTGACAGATCTATTTAGAACTCTGCATCCCAAAGCAACAGAATATACTTTCTTCTCGAGTGCACATGGAACATTCTCCAAGATAGATCATATACTGGGTCACAAAACAGCCCTTCATAAGTTTACAAGAATTGAAATCATACCATGCATACTTTCAGACCACAATGCTATGAAGCTGGAAATCAACCACAGGAAAAAGTCTGGAAAACCTCCCAAAGCATGGAGGTTAAAGAACACCCTACTAACGAATGAGTGGGTCAACCAGGCAATTCGAGAAGAAATTAAAAAATATATGGAAACAAACAAAAATGAAAATACAACAATCCAAACGCTTTGGGACGCAGCGAAGGCAGTCCTGAGAGGAAAATACATTGCAATCCAGGCCTATCTCAAGAAACAAGAAAAATCCCAAATACAAAATCTAACAGCACACCTAAAGGAAATAGAAGCAGAACAGCAAAGGCAGCCTAAACCCAGCAGAAGAAGAGAAATAATAAAGATCAGAGCAGAAATAAACAATATAGAATCTAAAAAAACTGTAGAACAGATCAACGAAACCAAGAGTTGGTTTTTTGAAAAAATAAACAAAATTGACAAACCTCTAGCCAGGCTTCTCAAAAAGAAACGGGAGATGACCCAAATAGATAAAATCATGAATGAAAATGGAATGATTACAACCAATCCCTCAGAGATACAAACAATTATCAGGGAATACTATGAAAAATTATATGCCAACAAATTGGACAACCTGGAAGAAATGGACAAATTCCTGAACACCCACACTCTTCCAAAACTCAATCAGGAGGAAATAGAAAGCTTGAACAGACCCATCACCAGCGAAGAAATTGAATCGGTTATCAAAAATCTCCCAACAAATAAGAGTCCAGGACCAGATGGCTTCCCAGGGGAGTTCTACCAGACGTTTAAAGCAGAGATAATACCTATCCTTCTCAAGCTATTCCAAGAAATAGAAAGGGAAGGAAAACTTCCAGACTCATTCTATGAAGCCAGTCTTACTTTGATTCCTAAAACAGACAGAGACCCAGTAAAAAAAGAGAACTACAGGCCAATATCCCTGATGAATATGGATGCCAAAATTCTCAATAAGATACTAGCAAATCGAATTCAGCGGCATATAAAAAGAATTGTTCACCATGATCAAGTGGGATTCATTCCTGGGATGCAGGGCTGGTTCAACATTCGCAAATCAATCAACGTGATACATCACATTAACAAAAAAAAAGAGAAAAACCATATGATCCTGTCAATCGATGCAGAAAAGGCCTTTGACAAAATCCAGCACCCTTTCTTAATAAAAACCCTTGAGAAAGTCGGGATAGAAGGAACATACTTAAAGATCATAAAAGCCATTTATGAAAAGCCCACAGCTAACATCATCCTCAACGGGGAAAAACTGAGAGCTTTTTCCCTGAGATCAGGAACACGACAGGGATGCCCACTCTCACCGCTGTTGTTTAACATAGTGCTGGACGTTCTAGCATCAGCAATCAGACAACAAAAGGAAATCAAAGGCATCAAAATTGGCAAAGATGAAGTCAAGCTTTCGCTTTTTGCAGATGACATGATATTATACATGGAAAATCCGACAGACTCCACCAAAAGTCTGCTAGAACTGATCCATGAATTCAGCAAAGTTGC